TCTTGACACCAGTCTGTAGTTTTATGACCTTACCAGCTTCATGGTTTCATCTTACAGGGTAAATTTTCCATTCCTATGCCACAAATCATTTTAATCTTTTCTTGCTGACCTTGTAAAATGCCCTCTTTGTGTTGTTTACTCCTGTAAGGGTGTTGCCCAAGTGCTCTGGACAGTGTCAGTGGAGGTAATTAGCTTTTGCTTGCTGGGAAATTTGCTTTGGTTATTATTCACTTTGCCTGTTAAACACAGGGGTATATTTCTGTTATAGAAAGCTGTGTTTCAGGCTTCAGTTTTTCATTTAGAGACAATGCTGTTAACTCACCTCAGAGCACTGTGTTATGTACCAACAAACCTGTGTGTGTAGTTGCCTAGTGAGCTAACCCAGATGGAGAAGAGCCTAACAGAAAAATTGTTTGGTGTAGTTTACTGTAGTTTACCTGCGGCAACAACTCTGCTTATAGGATACAAAGGGAAACACACAAGTGAGAACATACTCTTAGGGGTAACACTGTTTAGGAACCATCCCAGAGCTGTGCATGAGCTGGGACTGCCCATCTCAGAAGGAATGCAGGTGGAATAGTACACAGGGAAGTACTGTTATCATCCCTTTGGCTGCCACCTTTCTATGCGTTTGAGTTTTATCGCATTGAGATTACCACAGGTCATTAAGCTTTTAACATATTAAAAGTAAAATTTTCTAGAACTGGAGTTTATTTTAAAAGAAGTATGAGTCTGAAGTTAGTATAATACTTAGTTTAAAAATAAAGTAAAAATTATGTATTCTTCAAGTAATATTATTTTATTTAAAACAATAGAAAAAAAGTGAGACTAGTATCAAGAATAATCAGTAATATGTTCTTATTAGTTGTTTAAGAATATGAACATTTTCATCCTGATGGCAAAAAAACATGTCTATAATGTTTTATAGATAATATTTTAATTGGCTTTCAGTTTAAGTAAGTATTACAAGACAGTCAAGTCACCTGAAAATAATTGCAAAGGCCTACTATCAGTAACAGCCACTGAATCTGTTCTAACCTCTTTCGCAGTGACAATGAACAATGTAAATTTGGAGTGTTTCTGTTAACATTTTTGATATTTTACTTGCCTGACTTCACATAACTGTTTTCACAATCTTCTCCCAGTATTTCCCAAGCTACTGTGTATACGCAATAGCTATTGCCAAAGACTTTAAAGATTGGTTTCCTTTGAAGAACTTAGTGCTTTTGCCACAGCAGAAGTACCAAAGAGATTTTAAATCGTTACTAGTGATTATCTGTGTGTAATTGTCGTACAGTCACAGAGCTGGCCACATCAGTTGTGTGGAAAAATTATTTTCAGGCTTCCAGGGCTTCATGCTCCGAAAGTATAGTGTCAGAAACATCCAGCCATTGCAGATATCTTTTTTTCGAATGTTGAAGATGTTTATGGGATGATACATTCTGCATTTTATCATTCTTATTAGTTATAAGATATAATTTTCCATTTTCAAAACTAAGCTATCTAGGATTTGTTGACTGAAGGGGTTTTTTGTTGTTCTGATGTTTGTATTTCCCGAGTCTCAAAGCTGTAACCACAGGGTTTCCTTGACTAACCAGTATTATGGTTAGTCAAGTCTTTTCTGCTAGTTTCCCATAAAGCATTGAAAAGCAGTTTAATTCTCTATTCTTTTACTTCTCTTACCAAGTGTGAAACCATCTTGGTAAGTGGAGTGAGAGCTCTTAGTTTGCTCTTAACTGCTGAGGCTATTGCTTCCAGCCTGAACTGCTGTCTCAGGGACAAGGAAAACGGAAGTACCACCTTGTTTATGTTGGGTTCCATTGCAGGGCACAACCTCAAAATGAAACAAGCAATTTTTAATAGACAATTGTAGAATGGCAAATACCTTCTCCACCTCAGAGAAACAGAAAGTGGCAACAAGAAGCCCATGACCTTTAAGTACCTCTACACAGCCCTGGTGAGACACATCTGGGGTGCTGGGTCCAGTTGTGATCTCCCATTGTAAGAGACATATTAACAAAATAGAGTACTGCAAAGGTGATTAAAGGCTAGGCATATCTGGCACAGAAGGAAAGGCTGAGAGAGTTAGGATTGCTTAGGCTGGAGAAGAGGATGCTTATGGGGGATCTTATGTATAAATACTTGAAGGGGGACAGGAAGGTGAAGCAAGTAAAGCAAAGCTCAGTGCTGCCCAGTGACAGGACAAGAGGTAACGGACACAAAACTAATCACAGGACATGAAATGTAAGAAATTGGCTTGGGGTTTGTGGGCTTTTTTTTGGTGTGGGTACGGTCATAGATTGAAACAGGTTGCCCGGAGAGGCTGTAGAGTCTCCACCTTGGAAATATTAGAAGGAAACTGGATATAATAATTGACCGTCTTGGAGCAGGATGGTTGAATTAGTCATCTCCATTCCAACTGCAGAGCTCCCTTCCAACTGCAACCGTTCTGTGGTTGTATAAAATTCAGTATCAGTAGTTGGGTATCTACCTGCATGCACAGGTAGGCCAAGACAGGAAAACATTTCTTTTTCTGCAATTAATTAACTTATTTGCCTGGAGAGCTGGGAGGTAGGACCTGCTTTGAGTTGGAATTTGGTGTTTACCAATTCCAGTGATAAAGATGTCTACCTGCTTTATTTTAAGTGTAAACAGTAGGGAAGTTAGATGTATCAAAGGATAAGTGCTCTTTCAGGGTTAATTATTTTTGTATGATAAAGATTCTCCTTACCCTTCCCTCCCAATATTAAGACCTAGTCTATAATGATCCCTTTATTGTATAGTTGATTAGAATTTTTGCTTCTTTAGGATTATATAATTGGGAAAATGTATTATGATATAGTTCAGGGATTCAGTATTTTGGTATTTTTTAAGTATTGTCAGTTTCTAAAATAATCTGAAAACTGCATAAGTAGTTTTTATTATTTCTTATAAAGTAGGTTTATATGCTGGTGGATTAATAAAATTACTTGCATGTTCAGAGCTTGTGTTTGTTTAGTCTTTAACAAATTGTATTCTGGGGACATTTTACAGCCTGCTTTGTAGCACGTGCCATGGTGGTTTTAAGTGCGCTGTGCATGTTTGACAAGTTAGAAACTTAGCAAGCCCCATCAACCCTGAGCCACACTGTCTCAAGCTTGTTTTTGTTGGCTGGTATCCACTGCCATGCTATAAAATACATTTACTTGACAGTAGAAAGTGGAGAACCACATTAAGTACAGAGTTTAAAAAGGCTGGCTAAACACATGCAATAAATATTAATAAAAGAAAGGCCACCCACCTTTGACCTTCAATGCTTGATATTAGCTTTGGTGTTTTAGAGTTGCTTTTGCATTTTGAGCTCTACATAACAGTATGTAAGACTTTCTTACTTAAATCAAACAACTTATTAGCAACCTCATATTGTGGCAGGAAACCTGGACATAATGCATTGTCAGAGATTCACTTTGTGCTTCATAAAAATGTTGTTCTTTAGTTGCCTTGTAATTAACAAATCAGGTATATTTGTGCCTGGAAGTAAAATGACCAGTTATAGTATATGTGTATCTATGTAGCAGGAGGTTGTTTTGCTGAGGAACTTTGTAAGAAAATTCATCTCACCGAGTTTTTATTCTTAAACAAGAACACAAAGCAGAAAAAACGTCTCAAAAAAGTGTCATTCATCATCTTGTGGTAAAATGAAGTTCTGATTCATGATGTCTGGATGAGTTTCAGAATTTTTTCAGTATTTTTAATGTTATGTGCCTCGCAGCATTCAGAAACCAGAAATAGTATGGAACGTGAAATGGGAAGCAATTCAGGAGTCACTAGAGCTGATACATAGCCATTTTCTTCCAGGTCAGATGGCTCTTTCTCCCAAATTGTAGGATTATATTACACCCCTAATTATATTTTATCTTTCCTGTGTTTCTCTTGTTAAGACATTTGTAGTTCCCATTTTGTTAATTTCTTGTGGTGTATTGTATGAAACAAAAGAATTCTGTATAGATACTTCAATGACAGATGGATGATAATGGTTGAGCATTAAATCATTAATTCACTCGAAGAGTCTATTCTTGGCTATTAAGAAAAAAGTAGTAAGCTGCAGGGGTGGAAGGCTAGAAAAAGGAGCATTTTTCCATCAAATTCCAGCGGGATGGTGCATCTTGCTGTTTATTACGTAAGTGGTGCAAACCAACTTCAGCCTTGGGCAGAATCCCTTTAAAGAATTACTCTCTCTCAAAAATAGATACTTCCCCCCCCCATTTAGTCAGATGCACATACAAGTTTTGTGTTTGTCATGAGATGGATTGTCCTTTGTGGCAGATCCTTCTCACTTTGTCTCTCTTGAGTCAGAGGCTCGAGTCTTTGAGTTTCTGTGCTGACCTGCTGAATCAGATGGAAAACAGTGATCACATGGGAATTCAAAATCACATTGAGAACCATGCTGTGTATATAAAGGAACAATACTCTTAATGTCTGAAAAAGAGTTTTGCTCCTGACCAGAAGGGTGACAGTGCTCTGAGACATTGGCTTCAAATACCAAATTCTTAGTGTTGTGGGGAAGAAGCAAGACTGAAAATCAGCATCTCTTCCATTTCTGCAGTCAGCAAGTGAAAGGTCAGCACTGTATGAGAAAAAGGGAAAACCAGATAAAGCAATGAACGAATAGAGAGTATTAAGATTTAAAAATAAAAACTCAGAAGTCATGAAGGCCTTGATCACCATATCAAATCTGAAGCACTTTATTGTTCTCCTTCAAATCCCTCTTTAACTTTGCATTTCCATTTTTCCTATTTAGACTGTGGGGCAGTCTATTCTTCCTTCTCTTCCTTCTCTGCTTACACCCATGTGTTGTCACTCCCTGAAGAGGAAATTCTATTCATTCACACATTCACATATTCATTCATGTGCTTAAACTTGTTCCTGATACAGTGTGATCTACTCTTTGACAATGTGAAATTTAATTCTATGATCTAGATGAATAACCAACTAACTGTCAATATGTCACTTTGTTTCAGAGTGTTGTGCGTTGCCTTTGGCATCCCAAGCTGAACCAGATCATGGTTGGTACTGGAAATGGCTTAGCCAAAGTGTACTATGATCCTGTCAAAAGCCAAAGGTATGCAAGTATCTCCTACGATTAAGAAAATTCTCTTTTTTTCTCAAATTAGGCCTGATTCTGTGATTCAATGATTATACTAAGAAATGAGAAAAACTGGTTTAGTAACATTTGTTTTGCAATTTTATTTATCTAGCAACAGTAGAAAGAGGAAAGATAACCCAAAATGTTTGCTTATTAAAAGCAGTGCATTTTCCTCTGGGCTTTTCATGGTGCAGTATGCTGGCTGTTCTACCTAAATTTACAGGCACTTTCATTTTTTAATTGCATGAAATCTGGAGTAAGAATAACCACCCTTTTAACCCATCTGTTGGAGGTTGCTGAGGTAGTGTTACTGAATGCATATGTATTGTATTTAGTTATACTTTTTAATGCTTATTTTTTTCCTGAAGTAAAAATCTTGTTTAGAAGCATTAAATTTCAGTGTTGGTGAAGTAATACTGGAAGACCTAATTTGAGAAGGTGCAAACCAAGGAAGAACATTCCTGTCTTTTTTCTGGTCTTTTCCCCCATTCCCACTTATCACATGTGGATTTTGTCTGTAAACAGGAATAGGGAAAAGTGTTAGTGGTTTATCAGAGGGTGACTTGTCAGCCTGGAATGAAGAGGGCCTAAGTAGTCTATAAATACTTGTCTTGTGATTAATTTGGTTTTACCTGAACATAGGCATGCTTCCTTCCTGTTGGCAGGGAGGAAATGTATACTTCATCGATAGCGAGTGGTATAAATACCATGTTCTTTCCTTACGTGCACTCATCTTTGTTTTACTGGCATCCAAAACCAAACTGTGTTACAGTTCATGGTTTCTGGATATTTACTGTGACCTGGACACTTGGAGGTGAAGATAAACTCCGCTTTACAAGACTATCAGAAACAAGTTTTATTTTTCGTGGTTTTGTCAGTTTAGAGAACAAGAGAGTTGGTCACCATTGTTTGGACCTTTCTCTGGAGAGCAGCCAGAGTCTCCTAGGCACAGACCACAGAGCCCCAGTGCAATTTTGTGTCCAGTATGTTTCTGGGTATTTACAATGAGGAGGTAAATACCACCAGTTTAAATCAGTCTTGCTGCAGCCAGGCTTATGCAGTCTTTCCTGCTGCAGTGTTACAGACACTTCTGGTTAGATAACTGCCACCTCTGCTGCTTAGGAAGAATATTAGGAGCAAATCAATGCCCATGTTTGGAGAGGAGCACTTTCAGTGTGCACACTATAAGTACTGTGGACAAATGAAGTGTGAAATGAATCTTCCACCCTTATTTCTGCATGTCACATAAACTGCTCTGTAACAGAAACACTATAATCTCTCTGTTCTCCTTCACATGTGCATGAACAGGCAAAGATACACACATTCATGAATATTTAAAGTGCTGTATAATTTTGTTGAGACTGTCTTGAATAAAAACTGGTTTCTGTTTGATGTAAACAGGCCAACTAAACTGCTCTGTTTCCTCCTAGGGGAGCAAAATTATGCGTGGTCAAAACAAAACGAAAAGAGAGACAAGCAGAGACTCTTACACAGGATTACATTATAACACGTAAGGACTTTAAACACATCTTTGTAGCATCATCCTTAGCTCTTTCTTAGGTTTGAAATTATTTGCAGATTGTTTAGCTTCATATTTTTCCCCCTAAAAGGTTGCAGTCTTTCTCTAAGCACTACTTTTTCGTAGCCTTGCACAACCAGAAAGGTATATATATTCTGTATGCTCTGCAAATTTGTTAATGATTGGTTTCTAGATTGTGATGCATCCAAAAGCCTCAAAAATTTTAGAGCTTTCTTAAGAGTTTTGCCACTTGGGAACATTAACAGTACCAGTGACAAAACCAGAGACTTGAGAGATAGGTCTTCAAAGGATTTTTCAAAATTTATAGCTTACCCAGAATTAAAAATGGTTTTTAATACCTTAACTATCTCTAGCCTCCGAGTTTTTAAGACCATATATTCATATTAAGGCTCATTGATGTATAAGGAGTAGTTGTCATTGTTACATTATAAAATGTTCGCTGATCTGCCCCAAGGACAAATTTTATGATGGGATGAGGGGATTGACTGAGAGATTTAGGCCCTCTCCGTTAGCATTACCCAACATAATGTTTCCTTATGTGAAATGGGAACAGTCACAGAGTTGTTCTGTCTTGCTTCTCTTCATCCTCTTCCGGCTCCATGGTGTTTGTATTCAGCTCTGATTTCTAGTAGTCTTGGTTCTACAAATACTAAAACCATTTCTGTAAAACAAACAAGTAGTTTGGCAGCATAATAAACAAAATGAAAGTTTAGAATGAGAAAGTTTGGGCAGTCTTGGTAACTAGACCCATATCAAGGCACTCTGGTTCTGGGCTCCCATCTCAGGTATTTTCCAGCTGCAGCTGTTTCCAACCTACCTCACTGCTGCAGATGTCCAGCTTCAGTTTTTGGGCTAAAGTAAGCAGCAGCTGCCAAAGATCAGGGATTTTTATCTTCTTTGGGTGCTCTGCTCAATCCATCCTTAAATCATCCTTGACTGTAACAGTTTGTGTGCACTGTGTCTACACTGTAAAGAACTTCTTTGACTTTCAAAAAAAAATTTCCTGCTTAAAATCCAATGGAACTTGTGTGTTCAATGGCATTTATAAATGTCACTGAGTGATACAGGTCCAAATTATGCAAAGATTTAACTGTTTTTTCCACATAATTTTCAAACTAAATAAGGATGCTTTCATATAAAGCAATGTAGAAAAACGCTGTAAGCATTTGCTTAGCAAATTATTAAGTTTGTTGCATATTTTGGAAGCTTTTGAGAGGTTAGATGTCTGTCTTTTAAGTTTAGAAATAGAACTGGGAAGAACTAAAGATCTCTGAAGTGCTTTTGCAGTGTGAACTGACCCCTTTTTCCCTTCTCCATGTCTTTTTTTTTTTTTCCCATTTTTTCTTTTTTTCCCCTTTAGACTTTAGGTGCTCTTTAATATCAGAATTGCCTGTAATGGCTACTTAAAATGCAGGAATGTTGTTTCGAAGGATTAAGTGTCACTTTTGAAACACAGGAATACACAGCTTGGGTTTCCCTTAGACAACCTTGAACTCTGCAAATGGCAAAAGCTTGGTCTGTGCATTAGTCACCTCAGATGCTCTATGGAAACTGATCAAGCTTAGTGCTTGCTGGAAAATTGTCTCAGTAAAAATAATAAAATAATAAAACCTAAACGTTTATTTCCAAGAATTTCCTGCTGTGTCACCTGGGTGTGACTTTGCTCAGTCTAATAAGTTGAGCAGGCTTACAGAAAAAAGCTGAAAACTCAGACTGGTTCAGATCCCTGAATGCTTCCTGCTGTTTTTTTTTATTCAGTATAGAGATGATGTTCCTAAATTTAAGATGCTTTGGTTATTTTTTTGTCTTTGTTGGTTTGTTTGACCCCTACACAGTTTCCCACATTTTGGGAAATGGCGGCAGTGAGCCCATCTGAATGAGAGGTAAACCTTGCAATAAGAAAACCATTTATGTGATATTTTTTTGTTGCTGACAAATGAGTCTCTTGTCTGAGTGGACTTAAACCATTACTGTGGTTGAAAGTACTGTAACAAGTTTATGAGGAAAAGTAAGTTTTAAATCCTGACAATTTAGCCGGATTGTCTCAGTTATGAGTATTTTTTCCAATGGTGATTAATCTTATAATTTTACAAGGAACGTGATTATGATTTTATATGCATAAAATTACATTTGGAGTTGTTGAGGGGTTCCACCCCACTGTTTCAAATCCAAGAATGTATCAAGAGCGTTGTCAAGTTCTTAGAATACAAGAAAGCTGTAGAAATACAAAAATTCGGGAAAAAACAACCGGTTGGTCACAATGCTAATGTTGAGAACTGAATGAGAGAGGAACGAATGAAATATGCATAAGCTGTGCAAACAGTATTTCAGATGAGACGCTCCTGACTGAAAGAACTCTGGTATCTGGCCGCTTTCATCTTTGAAAAATTCAGCAGAAAGAAACCCTACAAAGTACACCTCAGTAGACCACTGTTTGGATATGGAAAAACTGGGAGTATGCTCCTTCCACCTTTTCCACTGCAAGAAAGAATTCAAGTCTTTGTATTTCAAACCTGAAAAAGGAAATGGAATTTCTAACGTTTCTTTTTCTCCAAACTGTGACCCTTCAGCCCATGCGCTTCCAATGTTCCGTGAGCCACGACAGCGAAGCACCAGGAAACAGCTGGAGAAGGATAGGCTGGATCCCCTGAAGTCTCACAAACCTGAACCTCCCGTAGCAGGAGCAGGTAATCTAGGCATAATCATTTCAGACTGTTGTATTCCAAAGGGACATCATGCCTTGGTTCTACAGTCCTTTTAAGTTTGTGTTCAAACTTTTTTGGGTGGTGACTTTACCCTATAGATGTATGGGCCGTGTCCAGCTCCGTAAGACATTGATGTCTTTGACTGGAGTGCTAGCATTCAAAAAATTAATAATCACACTGAGTTACTCTGAGTTATATAATCAGTAAAACACTTGTGTGAACGCAGCTCTAAATTAGCCTCCTCCTGTAGTACTAAATAACTTATTTGTACCAGACCACTTGTTATAGACATTGCATATTTCTTAAATATTTTTATCGTTTTGCTTCAGGTCGGGGTGGGCGTGTTGGAACCCATGGAGTCACCCTGTCATCATACATAGTCAAGAATATTGCACTGGATAAGACAGACGACAGCAACCCTCGGGAGGCTATTTTACGTCACGCAAAAGAAGCAGAGGAGAATCCATACTGGGTTGCTCCTGCATATGCTAAGTAAGGAAGTAATTTAAAACACAAGTAATATTTCTGGAGGCCAGTGGGAGTCCAGTAAAAATAGAAGAGACATTTTTAGTGGTATACTTTGCCTTTTTTGGATTACTGCCACCAATACGTAAACCAAGAGTATACCATACGCTTCTGTGAGGATGAGAGTTTCCAGGAGGTTAAGTTGTTGAAATTTCACATTTGCATTTTTAAAATGTACCTTTCAGTGCTAGAAAGTTATTTTAAAGCTTGCTGAGTTATTTGAGTTTAGAATCTTCTCCCAGTCAATGTCTGAAATTGCAATATATCTATTAATAGGGTACTCTCCCGCTGACATAACGGGATGGTTTTCCAGTATGCCCTCTAGTTCTGACTGATTCTTAGGTTAAACCTTCAGAATGTGTATTTGATGTTATGACAGCCTATTCTAGATGATTTCTTGGCTATCATAAGTTTTATCTGAAATTTTCCTACACGAGGACCCAAGTAACTGCTTGAATTAGCAGATTTTGAAGGTACAGCAGTATTGAAAATTGCACTGATAAAATCTCCTACCAAAAATTCAACATAAAGAAATAAGTTTTCAGTTGTTACATAAATTAAAAAGCTTCATCAAGATTTTTGTAGTAAAACCTTGGTAATCCCACAGATGGTGATTTACTCAATTTAAATGGTATGTGTGAATGTGGTATTTGTGTGTATGTGTTACAATGAAAATTGTGCAATATGCTTCTAGAATGCTTTCTGCCAAAGGGTTTTTTTTCCTAAAAATAAATATATTTCAAACAATTAAATAAATACATTCACAATAATACTAAAATAAGTACTAAATAAATGCATTTCATACTACTGAACAGAAAGTACCACTTTAAAAATTGTCACATTTTATTATCATTGATGGGTTTTTTACACAAAATAGTCTGTCAAGTAGTGTTTCCAGAATGCATAAGGAAATAATTTTGAAGACATGAAATAGTCTTCACAGAGCAGTCTGCCAGTAATGAATTGTTTTTGGTTTTTGCAGCCCAGTGTTCTATCTCCAAGGCTGTACATGCGATAGTACTTTACTGACTACTTTCTTTACTGATGTTTAGTTCTGCAGTGAAACAATCACCACCTTTTTCCAAAAACTTGAAATATATTAAGAGTCATAGCTTATTTCCAATGGTGACCCTTGCTTTCTGACTTGGCCCACATGTTCACAGAAATAACTGAATTGCTGTTCCAGAGCAGCTTGAGAATGTCGTTGAGCCAGACTGGCTTTGACTGAATGGTTAATAAGTATGGCATGCTGGTAATGGATAAGTATGGCATTTGATGTTGTACATTGAACCAGTGCACTCTTGGTACCAAAGAAGGGATACTTGAAAGCCTAATTCTCTAGCAGTTTTTATAATGGATATGCTAAATACTGATTTTTAATTGTTTGAGAGTTCCTGTTTGCTTGAGATGAAATATACTTGGAATGTGTAGGCATCTGGTTTTATTTGAGGTATTCATGCTCAAAAGTAAATCACACATTCCATCAGGTAGATAGATACCTCAGTATCTTAGTAACTTCGTTGACTGCATATTAAGTTTCAGCCCTGACACCTGCAGTGTAGTAGACATGAAAGTTTTAAAACAAAGCTGTGTTACAGGAGGCTTACTGTGTCAGGTGGCCAGATCTCATTACAGTTCCTTGTTAAAGATGTGGCTGCAGGGGAAGAAGAGAGCTGGCTGAGAAGTGGGCAGGATGCAAGTCCAGACTGCTATTAACTTACACACCAGACGGTGATATGTATGTGGGGGAATTGGACTGCAGCCAGCAGCATGCTGCCTTCATGGTTTTGTCAGCTGATAAATCTCATGCTAGTAAAGCTGCCATTATCCTTGCTTTAAAAGCTTGACTGTAAGATGTACTCTATGCAAACAGCATTTTAAAAATTATTAGTAGTAGTAGTATTGTTATTGGCTAAGACACTGAAATGCAGAAACTTTATTATTGTATTATGTTCTTAATTTTCAGAAATGGGGGTCTATACTATCAGCCACAGAAAGCTGTATTAATTAAAAAAAATTATATCCTATGTATGACTTCATAGAGCATGTGTGTTTTACCTGTATATAACGCATCTTACAGATGTACTTACAGATTTATATTTCATAAAGTATGCAAATTGCAGGTAATTGATATAAATTATCATGTAATACTGGTTTGTATGCTGGATAGCTGCTGCAACATAAGATTTACAATAGGGTTAAGAAAGGTGAAATTCTGATAAAGAAAGGTGAAATTCTGATAAATACTTAAAATTACATTCTGTCTTAAGGCCTAAAAAACATACATCCAGCATGTTTCATTTTTTTAAATGGTGTTTATTCTTTTACTGCTTTATTCTTCTGCTACCAGTTTTTCCACGTTTCTTGTAGTAAATTTTCGCTTAAACATGGGATAAAACTATCCACTTGATATATCCTTTGTTTGACAAAGCTTTTGGTCTCGTGTTGCCTAACGGATAGCTATTCATGTAAGGTTTTTCGTTCTCCTTCTTCAGAAAATGTCTAAGGAAACTATAGTTACTTAATTTTCTCCAGTGGTAGTTATTAAATAATTTTAGAATGAGAAGATTAAGAAATGCTCATTTTTTGATTAATCAGTTTTCATAACTGCGAATAAAATGGCTGAGTTGGAGTTCATCTGGTCCTGATCCATAGCACTTAGTTAATTTTGAATCAGGTAACTAATTTAATGCTTTTTAAATTGTATGTGAGGGAGAGTGACTTTTTACTCAGGCAGATAATGATAGGACAAGCGTGAATGGTTTTAAACCAAAAGAGGAGAGATTTAGTTTGGATGTTAGGAAGAAATTCTTTTCTCATAGGGCAGTGAGGCACTGGAACAGGCTGTCCAGGGAAGTATTTCCCATCTCTGTACGTGTTTATGTTGGATGAGGCCCTGAGCAACCAGCAACCTGGTCTAGTGGAAGGTGCCCCTGCCTATGGCCAGGAGTTTGGAACAGGATGATCTTTAAGTTCCTTTCCAACCCAAACCATTCTATGTTTCTATGATTTTCACTTCAATAAATCTTAAAAGAAATATATGACTTCTGCTGTTAGTTTATGCATTTTATGTAAAAATACATCCTTTTTTTGGAGTTAAAGGTGCCTAATTTATTCTTGAAGCCAAATAGCCATTTGCATTATTTATCACTTGAAAATTTTTTCAAGCTTGTTATCATTAGCATGACCTTTCCATTTCTCCTGACATTTGAGTCAGAAAGGAGGGGGAAGTATGTAAGAGGCACAAGGATGGGTGAAAAAAACAGATGCTGCTGAAAAGGATACTGGGGATGATAAGAAGTACATGCTCAATCAGGAGATGACATGGTACAGAAGCCCGGTGTGAATAAAGTGTCAAATAAGATGTGATCAACACACCAGAAAAGTCATAATGGATGGAGATAAAGATCTTGAGATTTCTCAGGAAAAAGCTTGTTAGAAACCTTGGCAAGAGCCATTCCAGTGGAGTGAAAGGAAAGGAAGGACAGATTGAAGATTTCAAGTAAAGAACTACAGGAAAGGAACTTGAGGCATCAGTTGTAAATGTTTGAAAATTACATTCTTTGTGAGCTGTTTGTTTTAACACAGCTGTACAGATATACTATAATGACTTCAGATGTCCCTCTGAAGGATCAGCAGGAATTACTAAGCATTGTAGCTGAGTGCCTAATCAGGCCCAGATGCAGCTCTCTTATGTACCAGGGGGAAGGTGAGGGTGAAATTTTCCTCCTCACCAAAGTAAACCAGAATTCCTGAAAATACCTTTCAGTTCGGTGAATTTTGCTCCTATTTTGCAATCTCTGTCATTGCTGCTTGTCCCAGGCAAAAAGGAATGTCTTGAAGCAACAGTCGGTAGTTGTGCTGTGTTCACTGAACTTTTTCTCAAGGGCAGTACTGGTGTGTGAAGAGGTAGTCGTGCAGTTTCTGGAGTACCTTTAGTTGAAAAATCAGAACAGAATGTTTTGTAACAGCGACCTCGTTGGCACGTGTTCATATATTTACCCTAAATCTCTTTTTCTAAATTGGTAATTTTGTGAGGTAAGTCCCTGAGATTCAGAGGAGAGTCAGGCTGGTTGGTGGGGTAAAGAATAAAAAAAGGGTCTGATACTGAAAACCTTAACTTTTCAGTCTGGAAATAGCCTTTATTCTTGTTTCCAAGCATGCTTTAAAGTCTTTTTTTCTTTGTTTCAGTGCAATATAAACACAAATTTCAAAAGTTACTTCGACATGAGTCACATGTTGTGATATGCAGTTTTCATCTCCAGCTGGTTTAGCTGCAGCAGTATTTATCTGCTAATCTATGATCCTCAGATGTCAATGAGCTACTTTCATTAGATCCCTGAAAGGCAACAAAGAAAAACAACCCATAACCAGAGGGATTATGGTGACTCTAAAGCAGTCTACATGGCCTCTGGAAATTTTCTAGGGGTCTGCATGTCTGAATATGTTGGAAACTACTGAAATAAAAGAGAAGCACGTAGTATAAATAAATCATGCTAGCTTGTTTTCCCATTTTTGTTTGCAGCTTGTTCCTGTAACACACAATAGGAATGCATTTTTCAGTGTATGAGATACTGGTTTCCGCTGACAGTCATGTGGAAACACAGGATCATAGAATAATTCAGATAGGAAGGGAATGCCTGAGATCATTTAATCCAAGCTCCTGCTTAAAGCACTTTCACTTAGATGAGGCTGCCCAGGTCCAATTAGATTCAGGTTGTTCAGGGGCTTGCCCAGCCGAGGTTGAGTATCCTCAAGGGTGGAGATCCCACAACACCTCTCTGGACACCCTGTTCTAGCAATCGGGTTGGCAGGGACAGTATGCTCTTGCTAAATCCATGATGGGCTGTTCCTTTCCTCTTTCATGTACCTGGAAATGCCTCCCATGGGGATTTGTTCCATAGCCTTCCTAGGAACTGAGATTAAGTAGTTCCGCAGATCCTTCTTTTGCCCTTCACAAAGGTGATGATGCTTGCCTTTTGTAGTCATTGAGACCCTCTCCCGGTCACCCTGACATCTGAGAGATGATAGAGTGCCCTTGCAATGACATGGGCCAGCTCCCTGGGTACCTGTGGATCCACCCCATCTGAAATCATGGATTTTTGCATGTCCAATGAGCTACATACTCTCTGCCATCCTCTTCTGTCAGTAGCGTCTCAGTTGCTTACAAAGACTCTGCTGGTACTGTAGGGGTCCTTCGACATGTGAGGACAGACCTCAGGGAAAATGGAGACAAAAGAAGCCTTGAGTATCTTGACCTTTTCCATATGCTTTCTTAGTGGTTTACCTACCCCATCAAGTACATTTTCCTTAGCATTTCTTTGACTGTCAGTGTAGCTGTAAAAGCCTTTCATGTTTCTTTTCTGTTTCAATTCCTGCTGAGCTTTGGCCCTCATAACTCAGTTCCTACATGTTCACGTAATACCTCTGTTCCTTTTGGCCAAGGTTGTCCCTGCTTCCTTTGTCTGTGTTCTTCCTTTTTGGGGTTCACACTTTATCTTGGTCAGATCCATGTGCATCCATAAAAAGCTACTGCCAAGCTTTGCTTTCTGCACATGAAATGTAATCTATTTTGAGGAGACTGCCCTCAAAGATCAACCAGCTCTCCTTGGGCCCCTTTGCCCTCCATGGCAGTCTCATGGGATCTGCCAAGCAGATCCCTAACAAACTGAAATCAACCCTCAAAGTCAAGAATAAATAAAACTGAGAAATTTGATGGGGAAAAGAACACAGCTTTCCACATGTAGTGTTTAGCCCTCAGAAATAAAAATATTTCTAAGCATGAAACTTGTTTTGATAATATTTTTATAAATATTAATCATACAGCAAATTCCTACTGTGCTAGCAGCCTCTAGTGCAGTTACTAAGCAGAAAAAATTGTGTTTAAATTAAATTAAATGATCACTGCTGATAAGGCAATAACAAAAACAGTGTTATAAAATGGTCAGGCTTATGAATCACCCTAGGTGCCCCAGTTACGGCTGCATAGCTTGTGGAGGTGGAACAGTTTACATTTCAGCTGAGCTGAGGCTACAGCTATTTCATGGTAATTTTAAAAAAGCGAGGTAGCAAGCAGACTTGATTTCCTCTGTATGTTATTGCTTTAGCTGAATGTTGCTCGATTAGGCTACAGGTTTTTTTTTTCCTTCTCCCCCCACTCCCAGTTTTGCTGCACTCAGTAGCACACTTTGATTAGCTGAAGTCTATGATTTTTTTTCTGTGCCACTCCTCTCCTGGAAAAAAGATTTTGTTGCTTGTTTCACAAACTTACTCGTTCTTCTAAGCTGGAAATTTCTGGCCAAATTATGACAATTGCAGGTTTGTGGTCAGAAATTTTAGGTTTGCACTTGATTAGTTGCACTTTACTAATGAACATCTCAGTACTGATGTGATCCTATTGAGAAACCCTTCATCTGTTGGGTTAAAAGGAAGGTACAGTGTCAAAATGGGCTGAATGAACTTCTGTCAATGTGTTCTGAAAAAAGGAGAAGATTCCACGCATTCTTCTTCAGTAACTAACAAAATGCAATATTCCAGCCAATAAAGCCTTCATCCCTGGTGTCTGTTTTGGATTGAATGTTGTAGTTGTTTTGGTTTTTTTTTTTTCACATTTTTTTTAAAGATCCTTCTTCAGTGATGGGTTAGGTAGAGTTTATGTAACTATTTTGTAATGAAATATTTTAATTGGAAAATATTCTTTAATCTTAGTCATGATTTCCATGGACAGTAAAATGACTCCTCTAACTTCCATAGTATAGGTCCTCATCTGGGTACAAAATCTGCTTGGGGGTACTGGAACCTTCAGCCTGCACGCAGGGACCATGTGCCAGTGAGAGTTCAGCAGCAGGGCTGTCTCTGGGACATCTTAGAGTGCTCCTTACCTCCCTGGCAAGCTTTCAGGATGGAGGAGAAGGCAGGCCAATAGAAAGACCCTGTATTTAAGGGGAGCTGTCTTTGACTAGTTTTAGTGAGTTTAAGTCTGTTTGTGCCACGTATTTAAGAAGTGGAGAATCCTGGTCTTTAAATAGCTGATTGTTTGCTATTACTCTTCGAAGGCAGAGGCAACATTGAATTTGCCAATTGCATTATGTAGGGCAGACACAATATTGCTAAGATTTTTGCATTTTGTAGGGTTTGTTATAGTTGTTATAATAATGGCATTTTTCACATCCTTAAACTGCTGTAAAAACATTAGTTAATACATTCATGAGATGATGACTGCCTTGGCTGTGTTTTATACTTCGTCATGTCTGTTGTAATGAGAAGTCGAGCACAGCCAGCATCAGTAATCCAGGAGTTTCAGCTCTGCAGTGATTGTGCTGACAATTAAGCTGCAAGAAGGGACCATGCAGTGACTAAAGTGTAAAACAGGGGAACTGAATGTCCAAACAGTTTATTGAATTGCTACTTGATACCATGTTCGTTTAAAAAGTAATCAATAATTATTTTTATAAAGTTTAAGTGGTATTTAAAATACAAGTAAACAGTGGAGGAATTGATACCATCAAGCTTGACTGTAGGATACACTGTGTTGTCATATGAAGATCATTAAGTTTTTTATGTTACAGTAGTGCTGGATAAAGTTTCTGGAGGAGACACTGGTTTTTTCATGCATAGGCTTAGCCAGAAACCTGGCTTAGCTGTTCTGTTTTCACTTACTGGCTGCTGTCACAGTACAGTGTATCAAAATGGATATTTCTTTTTAAAAAGTCGTGGAATGAGGACACCAGTGGCTCCAGGTTTCTAGCATTGAATTAAATGTAATTTTTTCTTGCTTCTATCTTAATTTTATTCATGGAATACAGATAATGATTGTGAGCTGATGAGGAAATAATACTTGCAAAATACGTGTGTTTGTTATGCTTGTTTGCCTGTGAGCTGCAGAGGAACCTTAGGAGGTTAGTTTATATGTTTGTGTCAAAAATAAAAAATGGGCAAGTCTAGAATGTTCTTTTTTAAAGTGTATCTGTATCTCTCTGTGTGTGTATATATACATGTGTATATATGTGTATATATGTGTATATATATACATATATACATGTATATATATAGTTGGGTCTAGTGCCAGTCTAATGACGTTTCTGTTGAATTGTACTCTGACCAGTATTTTAATATTTTTAATGTTTTCTAGGACACAGCCAAAAACAGTTTTTGCAGAAGTGGAACCAGAAGATGATGAAACAGACAAGCCAGAGTGGAAAAAACGTAAAATTTGAAAAAAAAAAAATTGGTTTAAAGAATAATATTAGAGCACTTGAGACAAAATGAAACATTATTTCTTTATTTTGGGTAGTGGATCAAAATTTGAAAGCAAAAATTACTTCAATTCATAAAACTTGCTGCATTATAAAAGGGGATTCTTGTACTTCACTGGCTTAATCTCAGATAGGAATTTTGTAATAAGGAATTAATTGTTCAAATAACTCCTCTATGTCAAGTTACTTAGCTTTGTGTTTGGATTAAAAAATATTTCTTTATAAATAGTGAATTCATTATATCACCAAGTGTTTTTTTTTTCGTTACTGCCAATCTTGCAAATGCTTTGTCATGACAGTGTTCAGTGATTTTAAGTATACCAATAAAATAATGCAGTTTCTCAGAGTCCTTTTTATTTTTTCCAGTTAAGTGCTAACAAATTACTTCATTCTTTACAAGTGCAGTGAAGTTTAGATTAATTATTGTGGAATATTCCTGGTTAGCTAATTCATGTGTTCACATGAGTTTGAATTCAGTTCACACTCTGTGAATTTTAGAAAACATATTTTCTAGTGTCCATCCTTCTTTGCCTAATGTTCCTTTTAAATATGTGTAGTATCTCAAAGTAGTATTGAATACAGCTTTTATTAAAAAAAAAAAAAAAGTAGAATTGGAATGGGCAATTACATATTTTGATTTAATAAAAATAATGTGTTTATTGCCTAGTTGGTGCAGAATTTTGTGCAGTTTATATGTATGGGTGAGTTTTAGGATAGAGTAGATCTACGTAGTTAATACCAGGTCTTTACGTGTATTGGCTTTGTTGTGTGCCTGAATTATGTATATCTGCCTCATGCTCCCTGAAGACTGATTCTAACCCTTATAAAGTGTTACTTCTAAATACTGAAAGTTCTCATTTTTTAACACAAAATTGCAATTCTGATTGTCATAAAGAAGAGGACAGATTTAAAGCTAATGTCCTTTAGAGAAGGATAAAGGAACCTAGGTTAGTTTTAGGCATTCATGTTGTGATTATAGTAATACACAATATGCTAAGTATTGTGATTATAATAATATACAATGCAACAAGCAGTCTGCATTTCCACTAAGAATAGAGAGTAATAGACATCATAAGCAATCAAGCTTTCTTATTTATGAATAGATTGTGAAGGCATATTTTAAGACTATATTTAGCAAAGCCCTTAATCACCCCCCTAACCTCAAGAGCATGGTCCTGATAGTCAGCAGAGCTTAGATCTTTTTTTTTAAGAATTGCTCTGCATCACTATTTCATTGTATGATTTCCTTTTCGAAACTTATCTTTCTTTTTCAGTTATAATTTTTATACTTCAGTGAAAACTAAGCCTGACTTCAGAAGGTATAATGAGAAGCATTGGCATAACATTCCCACAACAAAATATTTCCACTGCTTTCACTAGTGTAGTGTTTTGATAAGAGTTGAACTTCATTAAATAGTCTTCGACCCTCTTAAAAATACTCTTATATGTACTTATGTATCAGTGTTTAATTTACAATTGCAGCTGTAATTTGTAGAGTGAAGGATCGAATAGGTAGGTGGACAGTAAATGGAGGAGTAAAGGAAATTCCAGATAAAGAGCAGCAGTTGTTAACAAGACCTGCTGAAGATCTCCCCATGCAATGCCACCCTCAGCAAATAAACATAAAACGGCATTGCTTCATTTAAGGATACCTTTTGTTTTATTTTTCATCCAAATATTGCACTACAAAATAAAGTATTTTCAAAGAAATTTCTGTAAAATCTTTAAAAATAATTTTTAAGGATTAATACGTCCTTGGTTTTAGGCTGAATATTAACATGTCCTTTGTTAGTTGTTCACTGAGGCAGTGTGGCTTAGGGAGCAGAGCTGCAGGGAGAGGCAGATGAGAAGTGCTGCAGCTGTTCTCTGAGCATGAGAAGAGCTTCTTCTTTTATGTTGTTATTCATATCAACTGGATCTTGTTTTCTAATTCTTAAAAGAATTAGTTCTGTAAGTGAACACTGCAAAAGTTCTGTTAGAATTTCTCTAAGTGTTTGTCCATGTTACTTGCAGTGATTAATTGCCCTGAATGACTGTTCTAACAGCCTAGAATTTAAAATGGTGCCTGTGCAGATATGTATTAAAAAGATTTAAAACTAACTTAGGTTGCATTTATACTTGGACTCTTGACTTGGTTCGTTTGCCATAGTCCTTGCACTGGATTTTCAGACATATTCACCAACAAGGCAAATATTACCACATTTTTAAAAGCAGTTTTAAATCTCCAGCAGCTCAATGGTAAGAGTTAATCTAATCAAAAAGAAGGTATGAACAGTCTGCTTGACCATACTTGGGTATGGTCAGACAGTAAACACTGACTCAAGCCTTTGAGTTGTCCAGGGAAACATCTTAATGTTAAAAATATTAACATGAGTAAATACTTGGTATGACAGGTGCAGACTGGAATATGAGAAGCTATAGATGCATGAATTTTTTTTTTAAATCTCATTGTCTTATAAACTTTGCAACTCTTCAAGTAATTGCCAAGTTGTAATCTTAGTCCTCTGTCTGTCCAAATTTAAAGTGGCCAGATTCCATGTGGGCTTTTGTTTCCATATTTCTGACACAAGGTGGGTTTATTTTGTTTGCTTGCTTCCATAGAAGACTTGTTTACTGCATGCAGAAAGGCTTCCATGGTCCTCTCTCCTAACCTGGATGCTCCTGTGCAGCTTCTAGATGTTTCCTTGTTGCAATTTATGGTCTTCAGCCCTTTGCACTAATGACAGCTGTGGGCCAGCTGTGAGGTACCTCTGGCCTGTCCATAGGGCCAAGACTTTTCCCATCAGATCATTGCAGCCCACCAGCCACCAGTCAGCCTGGTTTCCCCTTCCTTGTTTTTTGCTGCTACTGTGACAGAGGTCATAATTTGACTCTGTAGTCCTTTGTCTTGCCCTGTCCTCCTTATTCCTTTTCCTATCTTATTTTTTAAGTCTTCTACCACACATGAGAAGATTGGTAACTCCTGGTGCTTTTCCTCTGCCTGTTTGCTACTACTTGATGATTTAAGTTCTTCTCTAGTGTATTTTGTATAACCTATAATTTACTGAAGATGACGCATTTGCCTCTAGTTTTTGTGATTGATAGCAGGAATTGGGAATTTGTGTCCAGAGGCCTTCAGTCACTCCTTGCTTTTAACATGCCTAGTTTGATGTTCTTTATCATGCTAGCCTTTTCTCTGTTGGGCTGTAGAAAATTATGTATTATGGGAATAGAAACCATCATCCTTTATCCTGTCAGTTCAATCTCTACTGGGCCCTGAGGAGTGTTCTGCAATGAGTGGCATTGCTGTGGTAAAGTGCCCTTCTCTTGGTTAGATGTTTATTTTTCAGTTTCTTTGACCTCTGATGCCTTTGGGGATGTCCAGCTTGAGACATTTGTAGCTCACATCTTCCTTTAATACTGAATCATAAGAATTTTGATGTGGCCTGTTAGTCACAATAGTATTGCAAAATCCCTGTCTTAGTTGTTCGTGATTCTAAATGCCTGCATATCCTTCTATCCTGCCTCTCAGCAATGGGGACTTCCTGAAAGTCCTACGGTTACCCTCATTAAAAACCAGCAGGCTTGTTCTGATTTTTTACCATGGGCAGGCGAGGAGTTCATGGGGTTCTGTCCCCTGTTGTTAATCCCTGGTGCTTCTCATCTGCTGGACTGTTTCATGCACATACGTGAATAAAGAGCTGGATAGTTGGCTAGCAGAGATGTCCTTATGCTTGCCTGGCATTGAAGCACAGACCCATCTTATTACATCAGATTTAAAATCTGCTAGAATTTTTGTCTAATCCCGCTTAAACACAATTTTGTATACAGTATACTCTCAATATACGCTTCATGCTCTGGGAGTTCAGCATCTAATTGCTTCATGCAATCTGGATAGCTCTGAAATGTAAGATATTTGTCTGTAGCATATCACCCCAGCTGAAATTTGCTTTGGCTGTCAAAGCTTCCCATTCTACATACAGAGGTAGTGGAGCATGCTGACAGTCTCCCACTTTGGCAGCAGTGTCTCAGATCAGCTTGTTGGAATTTCCATAACCTATGTGTCGCTTGAAAGCCTTGGCAGTAGTTTTTGATATTTTTTTTTTAATGGCTGATGATCAGACAGTATGTTCATCTTGTTCTCTGAGAGATGACTCAAAAGAAGAGTGATTGAGAAAGCATAGCCAATAAATCTCTGTCCTTTTTTTTTTTTTTTTTTTTTTTTTTTTTTTTTTTTTTTTTTTTTTTTTTTTTTTTTTTTTTTTTTTTTTTTTTTTAACTTAGCTATCCTGTAGGGCTGTTATATGTCAGGCTAGTGTAGTTTGATTTTTCTTCCTCTTTGAAAGTGTTCCTGTGGGCTCCGGACTATTTCCTTGTATCATGAAAAAGTAGATGCAAGAGATGAATACCTGCAGTAGATAAACAGGGGGCTTCATGGGTCCTTGAGCAGTTCTGTAGTCCATCCCTGGCTCAAGTTACAGCTATACCTGAACCAGGTCTGGCATGTTTACTGGATCTTTCAGTGCTGCCATGATAGGCACGGTACAATCTCCCTAAACAATCTGTTCCTATGCTTCATTCCTTTTAGCAGTGTAACATTTTTCATAAACTTTAAGAAAAACATTCTTACAACACTTTAAGCCCACTATTTCCTATACGATTCCCAGCAGTCTTTGAACCCAGTTTGTGATGTTCCTCTTTGTGGCAGCTTTTTACTATGTTTGAATTTTCTTATTTTCTCCTGTCTCCTCTTATTCTTTCAGTTTTGCTTTATGTTTTATGGTGTCTACTGTATCATCAGTTACTTGCTTTTCTCTGCATTTCTTGAAGTGTGCTGCCCACAATTTATACAGTGTTTCAAATTAAGCTACTGTTGTAGGACAAAACAGGAAAAATGTTTCCTTGTTTCATTACAGTCACTTTTTTCTCTCTGCAGTTTGGCCAAACAGGGTTGTGTTCAAGTCCTCTCCCGAAAGTAAGGTACAAATGCCCATTCAACAATACTGAAGTTACTTGTTAGCATTCAGTGTATAGGAAAGAGAGGGAAGGGCAGAGATGGTGTAAGCAGAAGATGGTCACCACTGTGAATCTTGCAGCATCCTGTTGCTCCTTTAGTGCCCTGAGCGTCTTTGTGGTGGTGGGGTCCCACCTGGTTCACACCCTGAGTTACGTTTATACAGTCCCTCATTAGCCTGGGAGATGAGGGTAGGAGTGGATTTCAGTCCCTCATTACCATGGTAAGTGAAGATAGGAGTGGTTTCTGCATTGCACGTGCTTAGGTCTTAATTTGGTGGTCATATGGGTTCTGCTCTGGGGGTCCTACAAAGCAAGTACCCCCAAAATCAAGAGTCCTATTGTTCACTTTTTGTATAACATATGCACTGGAATGTTACCATGGAAATATGTGTGGGTCCTGCCCCCACAAGGCCAGAACTGAAACTTTGTTCCTTTTTGCAGTTTGTGCAGCAGCACCAATGAAGTTTTCTGTAATAAGTTTCACCACAGAGCGCTTGTGTAAGGCATGTACTGCAAAAGTCATAACCATTTCCTTACAGGTCCCAGACCCACTCAAAGGTCCAGAACCCCCATGGCAAAGCTGCTGCCCAGCCAGTTCACTGTTCAGTGGTAATGTAGGATTCTTTTGGGTTTTGTCCTTTGTGCTGAACTTCATAAAATCATAGAATGGTTTGGGTTGGAAAGGACTTTAAGGATCATCTAGTTCCAATGCCACTGCCATGGACAGGGATACCATTCGCTAGACCAGGTTGCTCAGAGCCCTATCCAGCCTGGCCTCAAACACCTCTGGGGTGGGGTATCTGCAACTCCTCTGGGCAGCCTGTTCCGATGCTTCTCACGGTAAAGATTTTCTTT